ATAAATAAGACAACTTATTTAATTGAAAAGATCTCAAAAGTGCCAGTCTGGATTTGAGATGGAGTGAAAGTTTCTGAACTCCTTTGCATAAGAAGATCAGCTATGCATGGGAAGAGGAGACATTGTACCATGAAATATACTGCTTCTTCTGTGTCATTAGGAGAAATTATGATTTATTATGATCCAAAGAGTCATTTTATGTCTTTTTTCCCACCCCTTGATATCCCTTGATCAGATCACTATCTTAGGAAGCCACCTAAGGTTGTATAAGACTTCTCAATAAAAGCAATGACATGAGGACAGTATAAGTGATACAAAAAGACAAAGTGTAATAGGAATGCTATATTATAAAATGGGTCTGTATGTAAGTTAAAAAAAAAAAAAGGACTTTGTGTAATTGCCATGACCAGGATGGAGGCATTATCCATGCATTTAGATTCCATATTTGGTTTTCTTTTTAGTAGATTTTGTCTTTATCTTACAAAACAACAACCAAACCTGTTCACCGAAGATCTCAGTGAACCATTTTGAAAGCTTCAGGGAAGCTTTACAATCTAGTATTTGAATAATGGTAGAAAATGTAATGCTTCTTTCATAGCTGTCTGCTATAAGCCACAAGGACATTAAAATTATGACCTATGTCTCATGATATCACAGCACAAAAGATGTGATTGTGTAATCTACACCAGTTGCATTATTTTGTCTCACAGAAGTAAGTAAATAATAACCATGTTGTCTTTTAAAAAAAAATCATAAGGCCCACCATTGCCCCGTTCCCTTCGAATAAAGATTTCTGTATTTTTCTAAAAATAATAGTAAGCTATGAGTAACATCAGAAAATATAAAGTTCCCTAGGCCGTGTTGCTCACTTTCTGCTCTCTAAGTTGAGCTGCATTGTGCTTGCTGAATTAGTCTGTAAGTGGAGCCAAGCTCTAAATAGTATCTGAAACCTGGCAAATGGGAAGCTTTAAAGTCACTTCAGCAAACCTGATCTCAAGTGAGCTGAAAGACTGGAGAGTAAGTCAAGTGACAGCATATGGATGGGAGATACTGAAAATGCAGTTGAAAAATGCAAAGGCCTGTTCATTTCCGTCAGAATTCTTAGTGGGGTAACTTCATTGAAGTTGCCTGAACATAAATTTTACCTGTATAAAATCAATTAATTAATCAGAGGAAAGCTAAATAACTAAACAATCCTTTAGCCAACTGACAGCCCTAGTCTAAGAAAGGACACCTGTGTGTGTATTAGAAATCAGCCAAGCTTATAATTCTACCTATCCACCCTGAACTAGCTATTGATTTCCTGCCTCGTATCTAATGCCCTTAAAAAAAGACTTTTTCCTGTTGCAAAACCTTCTTAGTTGACCTGGTGAGAGTACCTCTACGCAAAGAGAGCCCAGACTGTGCCCCCAAAGCATTGTTAACCCTCACAGACCCAGTCGAAAGATGACAGCCAAATTACAATGTTTAATGTGACAGGAGAAGATCTTTAACCACATGACTGGTAATGATATCACTGATTTATTTTACATCTTTAAGTGAAATTTTGTTTGTGTCCCTGGGCTTGCATCTCATAAACACAGGTAGGAAAAGGTGATGCTGTGCCTCATGATGGATTTTTGGCTG